CGAGCTGACCGATTTATCGATCCAGTTTGATGTGACTCAGTTTATTACCCGACCGGCCAGTGTGAATCACCGCCAAGTTCGTTCAGTCGAACCAACTCGCTTAAAGGTCAAAGGGCATAACGTTCTCGGAGGACGAACAGACAGACAGACAGACCCCACCGAAACATTCATCCTCGCTCGGTGACTCCCTAAAAAGTACTTTTGTGTACGCAACACAAATCACATTTGCAGTTCGGGGAGTGGGTATGAGACGAACAGGTCCATTCTCTGAGCTGCAAATGAGATTTGCGTTGCATAATTCACATCGGGAGTTCAAGTATGAGAATAATCAGACAGAATATTACCGGATACGCGTACTTGACATGCGGCTAGGACCGTGAGACCGTATGTGTGCTTTTGGGAAGTTTTGTCCAATTATTCATATACTACTAAGTACAGAAAATACTTTCGTTTATTCACGGAGAAATCAGTTCACTGCAACTATAAACGGGTTTTGTGATAGACTGCGTGCGATACAGTGCACGAACCCCACCTTCGTAACCAAATCATCCGCATGGATGAAGTTGGGTATGATGATATAACTCATTGATTTATAGAGCAATCGAACGGATTTTGATTATGACTTTACCGAATTTATTTATCTGAGAAAATGTACTCTTTGGGGTGTGGGAAATGCTTTGCACACCACTCCAGGAAAACGATGAAAATATGCAAGTCGTTACAAAACGCACAAACTTCCCATACTCACGCTGGGAAGACAAATCTCAGGCATATTACTAATTAGGTCCCCGATAATCTGAACTTCGAAACTGTTTTTTTTTCCTGCGGAATAACTGCTTTTCATTTGTGGGCAGTTTGAAGTCTCTTTCGTGCGCCTAAACTCACCTGTCTAATAGACTCCAAACTTTTCAATAGGCTGACCAGTTCTTAATATTAATATTATGGTATTATTATTATTATTATTATATTAATATTATGATGCAGCAACCACATTTGAGTGGAGTGGGCATACAGCCAGTGTTGTGTTGGAAAACCATGGTTCCCAATCGACTTTCTGGAATCCCTGGGATAAGCTTCAGTTTCACTTACTACATTCATTAACCATGTATTTTGGTGCATCAGTTTTCGTTGCTACCTCATAACTACCCTTTTGGATGAAGGAGTAAAAGGAAGCTTGGAGTGTCTAAATCAATGTAAGTGTGAAACAGAGAAATTATCAAGATTAAAGTTGCAAGGATGATGAGCAGATGCACGAGTGCCACTGTTTACGACACTCACCGCCTCGAGCCATCGATCATGCTGATCTCGGTATCCCCCTCTGGGAAGGCGAACGCGGTCAATAAGCACAGGTCTTCTGGTCAAGGTTTTCATACCCTCAGGCCATGTGTTAATTCAACCACCCTTTACTTTTTCCATCTACTGCCGGTCTCGGTAAACAACACGCGCCGTGGCAATCTATTTGGTGACATGCCCAACACGCCTTAAGCAGTGTGATCTATGGAGGTCGACCACTCACTATAGTGAGCAACCGCGGTTACCCAGACCTCTGCACTGAACCTCAGCATAACCTGTCCGGTTTCCCCACCAGACTCGTGCAATGTGGCGTAAACAGCGACGTTTGAACACCGACACTATAGCTCTAGCTTTTTTTCGTAATGGACAAGGGTCTAAGCCGTATAACAGAACGGCTCGAACTATTGCACCATACATTCGACCCTTCACAGACAACTGGATGTTGCGATGGCGCCATAGATGTTTCAAGTTGGCAAATGCCAATTGAACCATCTGTACGCGTGCCGACACTTCATCCGGGATGCGTGAGCCGGGTGAGAAGTAACTGCGAGGTATAGTAAAGTTTGCTTATTACTTCTCTTACTTCTGTTACAGTAAGGCTGGGAGCTGAAGAAATGTAATGCTGTAGCAAGATTTTACACTTTGAACGTGCAAAACGCATACCGAACACTAGCACTTAAACTTTACAGAACAGCTTGCAACGTATCTGGATGTTCACCTAACAGTGCACGGTCGCCAGCATACTGAAGACCAGGCAATCTAACACATAGGAGCGAATTAATACCACTTTTCTGGCACGTCGATAGGGCTGTTTCAAGAATTAAATCAATCACGAAGTAACATAGAAACAGAGAGAAAGAGAGAGGTTAACCCTGACGAAAAACACTTTCCGTGATGAACTAGGGCGAAAAGGTGCTGTAAGCTAGGACTCCGCTTCGGCTGTTATTATAAAAGATCGTAATATTGAAATAAACTTCTCAGGCACACCTTTCAGAGTAAGATAGCACCAAAGTTTAGAGCGGTCAGCTGAGTCCTTAACCGCTATTAGATCGAAGGGAACAGAAATGGCATATCTACCAACAGAATGTCGCTGTTCTACAACTTTGCGAGGAGTGAAAATTTGATGGGTGCAGCTGCGATCGGCCTGATTTTCAAGTGTACACCCTTCACGCACGGCAAACAACCGACGCAATATGACGCTAGCAAGAAGTTTATAGACAATGTGGTTTTCGCAAGAGGACCTATCACCTTTCTTGCAATTGCGTAGGATAACTGACTGACATCATTCTGTTGGAACCTGTTCCCTCACCCACACTGAGCCCAGGGGCTTTATCAACTCCATAACCAAGACTGAATCTCCATCCTAATTAACCAATTGGGACAGACTGTCCGGACCGGAAGGTTAGCACCTTCTGAGATTACTTATTTCCCTGCTAATCACCATTTCAAACGGAGGACTCATATGAACTGCAGTAATTGCCCAATGGAGACAGGGGCTGATGAGGGTCACCTCGATAAGGAACGCATTTGAGGTTTTCTTCTGAGACTCAGTTATCTGACATACTCCCAAAATTTTCCCCTGAAACTTTCCATCCGCAAAATTGGCATACTAGAACATAATACAGTCCCAGTCGTAAGATCCAGGGGGAATAATAACTTACCCATCTACTAGGAACCTCGAAGATCAACTTTTCTCATCGCTGAATATCTCACTATTCCCACCGGAAGTCCCGGGAATATGAGTTCGAACCCAGGCAAGGTGATCGTCAATATGACGGTCTATTATTCATCTTCTGTCTTGATGAAGTTTAGGTTTGGTGCAGTTAATAGCAGTTATTGTGCGCGCAGTACACTCAGGCTCCAGTGTAATGATCTGGGTAACTTCGACACACTTGATACCTGATTTGAAGCAACACCGAAGAGCTGTCTCGTTCCCTGATCAGGGAGCTTTCCCAGGACTCCGCGTCTATTCTTCAAATTATACCGATGTGGATCCGTCAAAAGGTTATGCATGACCCCGGTGATAGATGAATTTGTCGATAGAACTCTTGTGAATGCTGATCCTCAGGTATTTATGGACTAGTACTTTTCTTTTTTCCACCTCTGATAGTTTTGCACCGCGTATCATTCTTGTTTCTACAAACGACGGGTTCATGGGCTCGACTGTGAATTATAACCTTGGTAATCGTCGTTCAACTATCGCGTGCGACGTGAATGCTGTTCAATATTGCATAACTGGAAGTCAATCAACACTCCCGAGACATGCTCGATTCGTTCAACTCACGTGGTGAGCCACGGAATGTACTTTAATAGCAGCACTGAAAATAGGGTGAATAGCATTTCTCACCCCAAAGAGCAAAATTTTCTGAGATATTTCAGTCTAGTAAATTCATACTCAAAGTCCGTTTCACTTCTCTACACAATAATGTGAGTTGTGCCATAATCAAACCAAATTTGATCAAGCTAAATGGTTTGGTTACCAAGCGGACAAACAGAGGGGGAGGAGAGTCAATAGCATCTCATGCAGATAGAGTGACGGACGAAGCAGGAATCAATTTGTGGAGTTTCAATGGAATTCAAATCACAACGATTTCCCCATTGAGGTTGAAAAGAAACAAATTCAACCTTTGCTGTCGACGCACAATATTTAAGACGCGATTAACCTTGAAGGCCAACTTCATGTAAACCCCGTTTTGGTTTCCTTTAATGTCTGTTGCAGATGCTTATGAATTTGTCCAAGTAAGCATTGTCATGTCAATGATGGAGGAGATTAAATGCAATGCTAGTATATCGAGACATCTGAATGTAATAAACACTATTGTCCAGATGAACCATATGAAGGATAAGGGCTTGGTGTCCTCGAATATTTATTACGGAAAAACAGGACAAAATGACACAGGACGGGTCTAAAAATAGCTACCATAAAAAGGGTACAACTCAAGGCAAATGCTCCAAATGTCCGTCGGGTCATCTAGACGAACTGACGAGTGGAATAAGAGAGAAGAGTTGACTGATCGCGCGTGTCAACAAGCGCGATCGGTCAGGTTGCGTGCACCCTGCACTCCTTCCCCCTCCCCTTGACCGTAACATGCTTATAGAAAGTGGTTTACATATTTGATTCCAGAACGACCGGTACAGTTGACTGAATTCATCCATAACGACCAGAGAGGAATCACGTAGATGTGGGCGTCGCCCATGTAGTCAGAGAGTGAAAAACTGAGTAAAGACACGAGTGCATGATGAAATTTGAATGGTTCTGCAAAGAAGTTCAGGTCAACAGATTAATAATTGATACTGATCGACAGCAAACGTGATGCATGAGTATTCCGTTTGATTTAGACTGCTTGTTCAACAAACACCGGTGCCGTGAATAGACACACAATAGTCGGTAGCAAGAGGACAACAACTTCGTTCTGCCTGAGGTCAAATCTTACTATCATCGTTGATACTAATCACTGATTTTCACCTATCTAATGTGCAATAAGTGTACAACTTAAATGCAAGAGATCGTGGTAGAACAAAGGTTCTTTCACCGAAAAATCACATGATTTCTCAATGGCGTAATATCTTGGTACCACTAACGACCCAAAAGACCTCAAAAACAGTTTCCCAATAGCCAAGATACTGGCAGTCACATCAGAATGTACAAACCACTGACCTCAATGCCTGGTTTCAATAATTACGAAATGAACTATTCGTGTGCACAATCAGACTTTCAGTAAGCCCAATGCAACTTGACAGCACCACGGGAACAGCACAACTCGTAGAGTAGTATTTGCCTGTGGAGAAGAGAAACGTTGAATAGAAAATGGACCAATCCAATCGATTACGTTGCAAAATGGCTGTAGAGTTTGTTACGCATCATTTTGTGCTCATCAATGTCCAATTTCGGCCACGCCAAATGACCTAAGCAGCGAGACACACACACACATGATGGCACTGCTCAAACCAAAGCGCCATATCCTATATAGGTCAAAGGGGTAAACGGCAAACAAAGTTCAGTCTTCATCCTCTGGCTAATACAGTTATATACATTTAGTGAATAAACGTGCAACAAATAATGTCAGAACGAAAATGCGTTGATTGGACGGCAAGGGAGTGGTGAGAAGTGGTTGGGAAAGAGGTGAAAACCAAAACCAAAAAATTGTTGATCCGTGGTTTTAAAGTGGGGAATCGTGAAAACAGAGAAAAGAGAGGGAGGGGGAAGAGGGATGAAATAGGAAGGGAGAGATCACACACACTTAGATCAAAGGGTCATGGGTTAATTTCCCAACCAGTTCTCACCACTCCCTTGCCGTCCAATCAACGCATTTTCGTTCTGACATTATTTGTTGCACGCTTATTCACTAAATGTATATAACTGTATTAGCCAGAGGATGAAGTTATCGAAAACGAGCTTGTTCGCTACTCGTGTTGTTCTGTCAATGTCACAATGGGAATTTTCAGTGAAAGTTCAGTCTTTTGAATGTCTTGTCTGAGTTGAGCTGGGGTAGACAAAAACCGGGTGGAGAAATTTCGATGACAGGTAACAGGAACGTGTTAAACTGATAAAACTTACTTTGTACACCGCTTTCGCTTGCGAACGACCAACTGCAGTCACTTCTTGTGTGATACAAATCGATCCACTGCCCATACCAACACGAAGTCCATCAGCGCCGGCGTCAATCAAATTCTTTGCCTGAGCACAAGTGACAACTGGAAAATGTTTTTTTTTTAAACAGAACCCGAGTGACATTTGCATTTTTGAAGTGTTAAAAACACTGTTTGATCAAGATACCGTATAAAATAACAATTCCAATCATAAGACTAAAGTGAGGGATATCCCAGTTTCATAACCATGCAATAATTGAATAATCAAAATTACGATGGAGACTGCGAGGGCTATCGATCGACAAGCAGGGAAGCAGAGAGTGACAATGGCGGGATTCGAACACACAAACCACAAGATAGCGGAAGGACTGATAACCTCTACCACTCGACCATGGTCGTTGCAATAACTTTGAGATCCCAATTCCCACTGAATCTAAATAACTCAAATAACCACATTTACAACAGAGTATGTCAAGGATTAATAGAAAGTCGATCTTTCCAAGAAAAATTGGCGACAATTATCGATGTATGCCCCCTAGATTAGGTGCAACCTATTTCCCGAATTGTGAAACAAAATTGTGATGGTGGCGTAGTGGTTTAGTCGCTGTCACCGGTGTGCTTTGAACCCTATGGTCCAAGCCACACCACCGTCACCCGACTATGGTGGTAGGCAGCTCTGCTGCCGTCCGGTTCAATACCACGCCTAACCTATCAGGGCCTTATGTGGTTCGCCACTCCAAGTCCCGGGGTTTAGGTTACCGGTTTTCACCACTAAACAGTAGGTCCTCGTGACTATGGGGTTCGCCCCGTCTCCTGCTCATCACACCCAGGTGTGTAATGAATAAAAAAACAAGCACTGAAAAAATACATACTTAAATACGGTAGTTTTGATACGGATTTGGGAGTAACTACATGTGACAGCATATAATCTTAAAGTTACCTCTAACAACCAACACACATTTGCTAAGATATTGCACAAGGTAGAACGGGGTTGAAAGCCTATATGCACTGTTTGGCCTAAGTTCTGATGGAAAACGGAAAAAGAATCTCAGTGAACGAAGAGTGAGCATGCAAGAATTTCAGATAAGTGAGGAGATCCATATAAATTGAAACGAGAAGCGATCAACCAGGCAGTTCAGTGTGACCTACTCGTAGATCACTGGTTAATATGTAAAGCAATCTTGTTTAAAGTTCCTCAAGAAAAAAAGAAAGCCGTTTTAGGAAATTATTTGTGGAATAGTGAAGGTAATCAAAAAATCCAAATAGTTGAACAAAGTGACCAGTAAGTGCATTGAGTCTGGTCACCACATACACTAACTTTGTCCGATGATAAACGTCCTGCGAACCCTACTCGCATGTTTGTTATTCAACCAGATATTTCCATCATATATANTCATATATATATATATATATATATATATGTGTAAGTTGTTTTTTTAAGCGCACAAATAGGGCTTGTTCAGTCGCGTCGAGATCGTCTCCGCAAAGTATAGTAGACGGCCTCTAAAGTCCCTTGATCGCGACTCCTTGACAGTATAGACAGGTCGGAATGATTCGATCAGACCGCTAAAGCAAAACGGTTTCGTCCGCTCATCTAGTCGCGAAACAATGCGGTCATTGGGGACAAGACTCCACGCATTGCCTAAAACACAAGTAGGATGTGCCACAACGTCTAATTCTGGACACGAAGGAATCGCATTATAACGCTCCAGGAACCAATTGGAAAGGCTTAACCTACAACCTACTTGACATATTTGAGTTGGGGGACATTAACAAATTTCCCGAGAAAACAACAGATTTCTCAGTTGTTGTTTTTTGTTACACACCGCTGTGCGATGAACGACAGACAGGTTGGACCCCGTAGTCATGAAGACCTGCTGTTCAGTAATGGAAATCGGCAACCCGAAGCCTCGCGGGACTTGGAATGGTAAACCACATAAGACCCCGCTCGGTTAGGTGTTTTATTGAACCGGAGGAAAATACAGTGAAAAGACCGTAAGGGGGCGTTGGAATACCTGATGTATTAAATCAAAAACTACTTTACTCATGCACATTCAGCATACGATTGGTTTCCTACGCTGAATTGTGTTGCTATATGCTCTCCACTGGAACCGGCATTCACCATTGTGTTTATTAGCTAAAACTAGGAATTTAGGTAAAACAAGCGTTGTATGGAACATATACCTTAGTCTATGCAAACACAGCCTGCGAGACACTTTGACTTCATCACCGTTATCGCCAAAATGAACGTCAAAAAGGGGGTAATGTCATCATTTGATGTACAATCACTGTTTACAAATGATCCCGTTAAGGAAATGATTTCAATAATTCATAATTACGCAGCCGAGTACAACTTACATCTTAAAGTACCACTTCCGGAATTATGCAGATTGCTAAGTTTATGCACATCACATGTTCAATTTGTATTTGATTGCAAATACTATAAACAAATAGAGGAAGTGGGTATGGGAAGCGCTCAAGGACCTGTATTGGCAGATATTTTCATGGGTTATCTTGAGGATTAGACGTATGCAATTCTTTAACAAGTACCCGTGTATAGGGGCTATGTTGACGACGTCTTCCTGATCTGTAAGAGTGCGCGGCAGATGAATCAAGTGTTTCACCACCTGAACGCGTTACATGCAAATATTAAGTTTACAACCGAAAGGGAAACAAATGAAGTTTTGCCGTTTCTAGACGTGCTCATAGAACGACGGATCATTGGCTACCAAAAGAAAACTTTGTCAGAGCAATACTTGCATTTTAAAAGTTTTGCCCCAATAGAATACAAGCGTGGACTGGTACGTATATTGTTTAGTCGAGCACGCCAAATCCCCACGAACGACAAAATTGACAAAGACACAGCAGCCTCTATGAAACACTGCTGGACAACGGCTACTCTGCAAAGTTCGTTGATAAGTATGCCAGACAGCAGGGAGAAAAACATACACTGCTAACTGGTTCCCCCGGAAAAGTGTTTTATTGTTTACTCTATAAAGGTGATGACGTATCGATTCTCATCAATGCGGCAGTCAATCGAACGGACTATGCGGCCAAGTTGGTCTTCATTGAGCAGTCAAGTCGAGTGCCGATACCACCGAGAAAGGATCCCATCCCCACAACCGCCAACTCAAATGTAATTTATGAAACCTCTTGTATCTGTATCGGTCGTACGTTGCGGAATTTAGTAACACAATTCTCGGAGCACATTCCAAAATGGCTGCAGGCAAACGCAACTGAAAGCACTCGAAGCTCTATCACGAAACACATGAAGGCCACAGTGAATCCAACGGACGCATTCCGATTTGTCTACCGTCCGAAACGACCCTACCAGCTAAACTTCGCGGAAGCCGTAACCATACGAAGAACGAACCTCATTCTGTGCGCCCAGAAGCAGATGGTGGTCTCATTGGCTTTACCGTGGAGTTAGTCCGCCTCCGCCCCACCCTATCCTTTACCCATCATCTCATCAGTGTGACTTTCGTTCTCCTCTCCCTACTCCGTTCACTCAAACCATTCACCTACACATATCAATTCCACCTCCTCGATTTCACACCTGTATTTGAATGATGAATTCAAACTTTGGTTCTTGATAATTTTCAGTATTATTTATTCGACTAATTTATTTCCTGTCTTCGCATGTCCATGTGTTCTAACTTTCCCTCTCCGCCTTATGCCTACTGAAACACACACACGCACAAACATTAACACGTCATTCTCGCCCATTTGCGAACAATTTTCCGCTCATCTGTATTTCAATTACGAGAAAGAAGTGCTGGAAAACTGTACCTTTTCAACTTCAAGTGAATCCGTTATAACTTCAAGCGAATCCAACCAATCGCACTCCATTGGAAACCTCACAAGATTATTGGTGTTTCTGCCGTCATATGTCACCCATTGGACCGGGTCCGTCTAAACCCCATCCAGTCCGAACGAACTCACTACCCCGTAAACAAACAAAAGTACACTCTTAGTGAGTTACCGAGCGAGGTTGAATGTTTCGGGAATGGGGTGAGTGGGCCGTTCTCCCCCCACACACCCCGCCCCGCCTCCGACACACCCGTTCCACCCGGGAACGTTGTGTTCGTGATCGTTGATCGAGTGTGCGTCATAGGTACGAATGAACGAACCCGACAGAGGTCAATTAGACCTCTGTCGGTCCGGTCAGGAAGCGAATCACGTCAAGACGGATCGATAAGTCGGTCACTATGCCCAGACGTGAATGTGAGCATGATTCTTTGTATGGGTGGGGTCAGTCTAAGCCCACAATAACCCAATGGGTAAATTCTATCGAGGCCGAGATTCTCTCAAATAAGACCGATTCCTTTGAATCAAATGCGATTGATTAGGTATTTCTGACATTGAAATGCACAGTTCGCAAGATACTTAGCATGCATAAGATGATGGGGTGACTGGTGCACTTAGTTTCTCCGCTCGAATGCAAATGTACGTGATTATTTTGACCA